GTGTATCTGAGGGACTAGGGTAACACTGCTCTCCAACCGGAGCGTCCCACCCGTCCACACTATGGGCTGTTTCACACTTGTGCAGACTTGTAGGGCTTAGTGACAGTATACTTTCCCAAGACTAGCGCTGCTCGGGTACTCCCCTGAGAACGCAGAAAGCTTCCACCTGAGAACTTGGGACTCTGAATTCTAGTCTGTCTCCACTAACTGGGTCAGATCTCAGACAACCTCTCAAGGCTCAGGTTCTGCGAGTGAAACAGGAGCAAGTGGGGCTCGGAGCAGGGCTCTTCCTGCCAGCTTCCTGGGGGTCAAATTCAGTGATATTGCAAAAGTGGGTTTACTTTTAATTAATATGGGTTTTTGATATTTATTTATTTGAAAATCAGGAGGGGGGAGAGAGAGAGAGATCTCCATTTGCTGGTGTCTCCCCAAACGGCTTCAACGGCCAGAGCTGGAGCAAATTGGAACCAGGAGCCAATCCAAAGCCAAGAGCTTCCTCCAGGTCTCCCACCTGGGTTGCTGGGTCCCAAGTACTTGGGCCATCTTCCACTGCTTTTCTAGGCACATTAGCAGGGAAGTGAATTGGAAATAGGGAAGCTGGAACTTGAACTGGTGCCTATATACGAGGCTGACACTGCAGATGGTGGCTTAAGCTGCTTCACCACAGCACCAGACCCAATATATATTTCTTTTTAAACTAAGATAAAACCACTTAACACAATCAAGTGCATTCAGTATCAAGTTTCATCAAGGTGCAAACACTGGGCAGTCAAATAACCTCTTTTTGTGTAAATTTTGGAAGGATTACATCTAGCTTCTGCATGTGTGTTTTCTAGTAAACATCTCATGGATTAGGAAGCTTGTAGTATGCACTTGGCGATGTCTCAGTGTGAGCCTGCTCTGTCCAGGTATTTGCATGAATCTGAACAGCAATGGCCCCAACTCAAGTAAATGCCAAGAGATATCCAACGTATATAAGACATGCTTTTATATCACATATGGCAAATACATCTCAAGTCACACTCTGAAAACACATGTCTTCAAAATTAGGGTGCCTCTATTCTGGTTGTTTTTCTGTAATGAAAGCACACTGTTAAAAGCTCTAAAGATTCGATTTTCTGTTTAAAAAAAAATTCAGAAGACCTTTCTGTCTCTCATTCTCTCCATAAATCTGCCTTTCCCATTAAAATAAAATAAAATCAGGGCACTGACATGGTAGCCTGGTGGCTAAAGTCCCCTCCTTGCATGCACTGGGATCCCACATAGGTGTCAGTTCATGTCATGGCAGCCCCACCTCTCATCCAGCTCCCTGCTTGTGGCCTGGGAAAGCAGTCAAGGACGGCCAAGGGCTTTGGGACCCTCACCCACATGGGAGACCCAGGATGAGACTCCTGGCTCCTAGCTTCGGATTGGTTCAACTCCGGTTGTTGCATCTACTTGGGGAGTGATTCAGCAGATGGAAGATCTTCCTCTTGGTCTCTCCTCCTCTCTGTTTATCTGACTTTCCAGTGAAAATAAATAAGTCTTTTAATACTCAGCTTCAATGTTCCCCTCTGATTCCTGGTTCCTGGTTCCAGATCCCTGTTAATATAGAACATAGGAGGCGGCACTAGTGGTTCGGGCAATTTGGTTCCTGCCACTCACATAGGAGACATGGAATGAGTTCCTGGCTCCTGGCTTCTGTCCAGCCCAGCTCCAGTTATTACAGGCATTTAGGGAGTGACTCTGCAGGTGGAGGCTCTATTTCATCCCTCTCTGTGTCTCTCTGCTTCTCAATTTTTTATTAATTTTTCTGACTCTCCTTTTAATCATTTGAATTATTTACTACCAAAGATAACCCTAAGATTTATAAGAACAACTGTTTTAAAAATTTCCTACATTTACTGGTAATCACATTTACGAATAAACAAAAATAGAAACAAAGTTGGCACTAGAATTAAGACTATCACACATAATACTAATCTCAAATGTTTGCATCTGGAATAAAGCCCATCTCAGTTCTATATGAAACACCTTATTTTGATCAGTGACTTTAAAAATAATGCCTCAAAGCAGTGATTCTTGCTCTTATCTTTACAGTTAACATTGACTTCAACTTTAAGCACTCCAGCTTTAAATGACTCGATCCAGTCTCCCATGTGCATGGCAGAGGCCCAAGGACTTGGGTCATCTGCTGCTGCTTCCACAGGCACATAGTACCAGAAGTAAATCAGTCAGGACTTGATTCAGCACTCATACAGGATGCCAGAAGTCCAGGCTGCAGCTTAACCCACTGTACCACTACACAAGCCCCAATAAATAAAATTTTTAAACAGAAATCAAATGTCAATCCAAGTGTACTAATAAAAAATAAGTCTATTAATCCAAGTCTACCAATAAGAAATGTGTGAGTAAATTACTGTAAACACATGCAATACTAACTACCAATATATAATGTTAAATATATTACATATGTGATTGTATATAAATTAGAAATCTTATTTACAGCATAGAAGTATGATATATGAATACCAAAAAGGAAAAAGAATCAAAAAAGATGAAAGATATAAGCAGAGTAATTTGAGACCCCTTCCACAAATGAAAGGCATACAGTTAATCTCCTAGCCCACAGCTAAAAGAAACACAAGGAGAGGTGACTAAGAACTGGAGAAGACCAGCAGAACTCCCCATCCCAACAAGCCTGAAACTGAGAATGTTGGCATGATTTGAGAGAAACCAACCTGTTTCAAAGCCATCAAAAATACAAGCCTACAAGCGTAAAAAGCTGTCTGGCCCATTTATACAGGCAATATCACATGAGGGTTCTTGCCTATCAAACTATAAAAGGAAGGAACTACAACAGGAAATTGCCCTGCCCTGGCCATGTGCTACTCCTCCCTTCCTCTCCCAATTTACCAAGAAGCCACCATGAAGGGGCACAGAACATAAGTAGCCAACAACTGTTTTAACAAATATTTATAAAGCACATGGTTTTATTATTTTAACCCAGTAGTTGTTTTACTTTTACTTTAAATGAGAGCTGTTTATTGTTTCTTAATGACCAAGCAGTTCTGAAATCACTATTTATGGGTGAGTTGGGAGTTAGAGAAAAAAACTAAAAAACTAATGTGCTTCATCCAAATAATAAAAACCAGATAAATTCACAGGCATCAGTTTCCACACAAACTGCTTGTGAGTGATGCTGTTCCGAATATAGTTCAGAACAGCCTCATGTTGAGTAATCAACGGGTTGGTTAGCAGGGTATCTAATCTGCCATCTTTGTATTCAGGTACACAGGAGTGTTTACCATCACAGCATTTTGATGAGTCACGAAGCTCAAGAGCCACAGACGTCCCACCGTGTTACAGAAGCTCAGACTGATGGCTGGGACTGTAATGATCTGTGTCTATTAATAACGAGTCAGACACAAGGAAGTGGCTTCTTTTGTAAAAAGAACGTTTGAAGCCACTTTTCGACTCTTCAGTGGTCCAAACACAGGAAACAAATTTAAAAACATGAGCCCTTCAAAAAGTTAGCGAACCTAGCAATGAAACTACCAGAAGTATAAGCTGCAGTAAGGAAAAAAATAATAAAAAAATAAGATAGCACTTTTCTCCCTTTAACTCTGTAAAACTCTAGTGTTCATATTCAACATGCAAAGGAGCATGACACTGGAGATTCCACATGATAGCAAATTTAGTATGAACTAACTGGATGTATCAGTATGCTTCAAAAGTTTTAAATTGCTCATCTTTTGAAATCCTCCTCCTGGCAGTTTAAAGACAAAAATCTGTAAAAAGAACTAGATAAAGCAGGAAAAAAAAAGTCTGCCACATTACAAAGAATTTTGAGAGGAATCTATACTTTTAATATGTATACAAAATATATTTTAATATGTGATATTTTAACATATATATACGATAGCTACAATAGTACACTCTCTACACAGACTACTCGTTGGTCATCTGAAGTAGCAAAGTAGCAAAACATAAGTAAGCTAAGTTAAAAAAAGACTCACACAACCACAATGTGACTAAACCTGCACAAACACTGAGGGACAGAGCTGCAAGAGAAAGTTCCTATTATTCCTTCAAAACATGCTATGCGCCTCTTGTTAATTTTTTTAATTTTCAGGAGGAAAAAAAAGAGACAACTTCCTGCTCATAAAATTATCTGCCTCTCAAACTAGATGTTTATAACATAGATAACCTTTTCAATTTCCACTCCCAAAAAGCTCTCTCAGCTTCATGCATGTAAGCTGACCTGCTGGGGCTGGTCATCCTCATTCTCCCACAGCCCACAGCAGAAGGCAAGGGAGTCAGTCATTCCCTGAGTATCCTGAGGGTCCCACCACCTGCATGGAGTCCTGAGGGTCCCACCACCTGCGTGGAAAGCACAGCAGGAGTTCCGGGCTCCTGATTCCACCTGGCCCAGACCTGGCACTTCTAGATGTTTGGGGAATAAACTGCTGAGTAGAATGCCCTTTGTCTCTCTGCCTTTCAAATAAACATATACAAGTAAATAATCTTTTTAAATATATGTTGAATAAATTCATACTAATGGAAATGTGGCACTTAGTCCATATTTTGCATACTTATTTTTTGTTCACCTGACTTTTTTTTTCCTTTTCATTTTAGATATGTTTACATAGGTGATCAGCGTGGGAAGGATCCCGGGTTAGGGAAAAGTGGGTGTGATCATTATTTCCAAACTTTCTATGTTTTCTTCCCATTTCTGGGGCGGGGGGTGGGGGGGAAGGCAGGAGAAAGGGGAGAATTGTACCCAGCCTCCCAACCACCCCAGTACCAAGCCACCCAGTAACAACCCCATGGTCCCGATGTGGCAGATGCTCTGCCACATGCTTCCAGGTGAATGCAATAGTTCTGAAATGCTGTCAATCTCACCAGTCTATGAATGAGGAAACCCTTCCACTGTTAATCAGCTGACACAGTCGACCTTAGTGTCTCCATTCGCCAAGATATTTGCTGTCATCATTTGGTTGGGGTAGTTGTCCAAAATGTTCTGTTCTCCATTCTCTGCTATGGTACCAGATGTCCTCTGCAGGCCCCGATGGACTACCATGTCCTCTATGTACACCAAGGCCTGCTATCCACTTCTCCATCCTTTACACTGAGGAGGACCAGTTCTCACAGATGGGCCCATGGACCCGGGCCAGGCAACCTGGGTTCCATCAGACCTCTGTCCCGTGGGCTCATGGGTTCAGTACCCACTGCACAGGTGGGCCCAAAGACCTGGGTCAGGTGACCCGGGCCCTGCCCAACCCTCCCTCCACCACTGGGGCTCATGAACCCAGCACCCACCTCACAGGTGGGCCCAATGTCTGTCACTCATTTTGAAGTAGGTATTCTTTGTCATTCCTCAGAGCCAAACATAGTGCTAAGCATGGAGTCACACACACTAAATAAATACTCATTGACCTAAGATATACCTGACTACAGGTCTCACAAATGAGAAATTCATTTTATTAGGAAAATTCTTTCTTTAAACTGTAAATACCATCTTAGGAGAAGGGGAATAAAACTCTTACATCTTTCAATGGATTATGCTAAGCAATAGTCAAATTAACAACCATCTTAGAGTCATGGAGCCAAAAAAGGATTTAAGTGCAAAATGGTTTGGCCAGGAAAGAAGATAAGCAAAAATAGGGGAAGAGTTTGGTGGGGAACCCCAAGGGTGTAACACAAAAGGGATAAAAGAAGTAGGAGACTGCACCAGAGAACTTTTTGGAAGGCCACACGACGTCAATATCCAAAGCTACCAGGATGGACTGATGACACCTTTAAATATCATATACATGGCCCTCCTTCAGGCCTCAACTGTCACTCTAAAGGTGGGCTATTATTACCCTTATTTTAAAGAGGGGAAAAAAAAACCACAGGATTTTGGATAAGTGAAACAACTTGCTCAAAACATATAATTAACAATGGATTCAAAGCGAAGCTTCTGGATTTGCTAAAATCCCAGATGGAGAATGGCTTCTTTGCAGTTAGTAGCAGATTCAGCTGTGGAAGACACCTATTCAGGCCTTATGTGTAGTCTAACAGATAAAAAGTAGACACGGTCATGGTTAGAAACTACAAACCTCAGCCTTACCATCCTCCAAGGTATCTGACTCAGTCTAGTCCCAATGAGTCCACAATGCAGACCTCTCATTTAGCAAAAGCATAGCAGGTGGATGAAAGAAAACACAATGCCGTTACCACCTCTATTCAAGCACCCTCTATGTATCTGGGGAAAGAATCTTACTTCTTTAACTCTGTACCAAATTTCTTAAGCTCAGTTACACCTACTTCACATACATATTATTTTCCGATTCTTCAATCATCAAAACCTAATTTGGGGCCCGGCACGGTGGCGCAGTGGTTAAGGTCCTCGCCTTGCACACTCGGGATCCCATATGGGCGCCAGTTCTAATCCCGGCGGCCCCACTTCCCATCCAGCTCCCTGCCTGTGGCCCAGGAAAGCAGTCGAGGACGGCCCAAAGCTTTGGGACCCTGCACCCGCCTGGGAGACCCGGAAGAGGCTCCTGGCTTCGGATCGGCATAGCATTGGCCGTTGCGCTCACTTGGGGAGTGAATCATCAGACGGAAGATCTTCCTCTCTGTCTCTCCTCTCTATATCCGCCTTTCCAGTAAAAATAAAATAAATCTTTACAAAAAAAAAAAACCTAATTTGTATTCCCCTTGACCTCATTGTTATATGCCAATAAACTGAAAATGATACATTAAGACCAGTGGTAGCAAAGATTTAGTCTTTAACAATCCAATTCATACTAATTTTTAAGCATTTTCTTCAAACTCATAAGTGTGTTTTGGATGCTATGATGACCTCAATACTGTAACTCTAAAACTGCATTGAGTGTCACTCTGGAAGGCAAGCAGGTTTATGACAAAGCTGACTTTTTAAAAATCTGACCCCTGCATCTGGACGACCACCACATGACAGCTTAAGGACAGTAGATGTCCTTCACTCCCAGGGACTTCCCTGGAATAGGTGTCCATCATCCAACTAGCATGGCTGTGAACTGCAGCCACAGCCATGCAGCAACCCTGGCTTTAACATCATTCTCAGAGAACTCCCCGCTCTGTGGGCTTCCTATTGAGCAGCTCTATGAGATACAAATTCTATAAACACTCATCCACTTACAGACAAGGGAATGGGAACACAAAAGCTTCTGTTGTACACATGAAGTCACCACCGAAGAGAGAAACCACAGGTACAGCCAGGACTGAACAAGGCATGCTCACCACAAGACGCCACACTCAAAGAGCAGGCATGATGGTGCTAACAACATAACAGAAAGCGCTTAACACCTCCAAACTGCACACTTAAAAGTGGCCAGTGCAGCACATTTTAACGATGTATATTTTACCACAATAAAAAATGGAAAAAAGTTTAATTTGAAGCAAGGTAATGAAGTAAGTTTGCATAGCAGACACCACCCACGGTTGATGATTATTGCTTTGAGACTCTATCTCTAAAAACCAGAGTTGGCTCAGTTACTACTGCAAATATTCTGGTAGCAAGAAAGACATCTTACACTTTATGTCCAACATAGCCAGTTTGAGAGTTTTTCATATTTTGTCACCCTGTTATTCATTCAGCATGAAGCACCTATTATGTTCCAGGCACACTTTTTAGTTGACATTCAGTATTCAAAAACTGAAACAGTCCCACAACAACTGGAAAACAGCTGCTGTCCCCAGGACCATGTCCCACCCCCGACTGAGCTCCCCTTTCACACCGCACCCAAGACCTTGCCCAGATTCACTACAACAGTAAGTTTCCAGGACTCTGCCCCAGCTTGGCAGTCTACTACCAGTTTGACAAGGAAATGTGTGGGCCTCACCCCTTGTTAAATATTTTATCATCTTCAAGCCATGCAATGAACAAAGTAGCTAAGGTTCCTACCTTCTAGTGTGGGAAAGAGATAATAATACACAGCCAGTATGATTTCAAATAGTACAGTGTAATGAAGAAAATGAAACAGAGCAGGCATTTGGTCCAGCTGTCAAGCAGCTGGTTGGGACACCACACTGCACGTAAGAGATCTATAAAGTTCAATTCCCACCTTCAGCTCCTGGGAGGCAGCTCTGATGACTCGAGTAATTTGAGACCTGCCACCCATATGGAAGACCTGGATTGAGTTCTCAACTCTCAGCCCAACAGAGTTCCTGCCATTCCAGACCTTTTGTTAACAAACTAAAGCAAGTGGGAGTTCTCTCCCAATTCTCATTTTCTATCTCAAATGAGAAACAATAATAAAAATAAATAAATAAAACATCAAAAGACTAACAATTGATTTGGGTATTAATTGGCAGGGTCAGACTTGAAAGAAAGCTTCTTTAATAAAAGAACATTAGAAGGAATCAGGCACGCAAAGGTCTGATGTCAGAAAATTCCAAATACAAAGAACAGAAACATGAAGAATCTGTGGAGAAACAACTGTATAAATTTTACAGAGGATCATCATGGTAAGAGCAACTTGAGCAAGATCATAAAGGCAGACAAGGAGAAAATCAGAAGTCATTATATATTTTTTTTTAATTAGGGAGAGACAGACAGACAAAGCTCCCATCCGTTGATTCACTCCACAAGACCCCACAGTGAACAGCGCTGAGCCAAGCCCGAGAGTTGGAAGTAGTATCCAAGTTTCCCACGTGGTAGCAGCAAGCTAATGACCCAGATCGTCACGGCTGCCTCTGAGAGCCTGCATTAGCAGGAAGCTGGGATCAGGAGGTACATCCTGGAGTTGAGCCCAGGTACTCCAATGTGGTATACCTTTATCTAAGCCACTGTCTTAACTCATAGACCTAAGGCCTGGCAGGAAAGAATCTTAACAGTACTTGTAAGGATGATAAATGTGATGCCAAGAACAGTGAGCAATCAACAGGCAGATTTGAGCCAGTGAATGACATGTTCTAACTTACAATCTTAAAAGATTATACCCTGAATGAAAGGAAAGCAAGGATAGGAAACAAGATCTAAAGTAGGACCCAGCACGACAGCCTAGCAGCTAAAGTCCTCGCTTTGAATCCTGTATGGCCGCTGGTTCTAATCCTGGCAGCCCTGCTTCTCATCCAGCTCCCTGCTTGTGACCTGGGAAAGCAGTGGAGGACAGCCCAAAGCCCTGGGACCCTGCACAGGCATGGGAGACCTGGAAGAGGCTTGGATTGGCTCAGCTCCAGCTGTTGTGGTCACTTGGGGAGTGAATCATTGGATGGAAGATCTTCCTCTCTGTCTCTCCTTCTCTCTATATATCTGCCTTTTCAATAAAAATTGGAAAGAAAAAAGTCTTATTTAAGACAAAAAGATGTAAAGCAGTGGTGACAATCCAGGTGAGTAGTAGAGACGGAAAGAATATTCCAGTTCAAATTTTGGAAGTAGAGCTCACCAAACTCATGAGTATAACATGACAAGGAGTAACAAAAGAATCAAAGCGGCTGCTATCTTTTGGTTTAGTAAGTCACCGATGATAGTTCATTCACTGAATAGGGGACAAATGGGTAAATAAATCAGTTTGAGGAGAAAGGAATTAAAAGTTGTGTTCTACCACAATAAATATGATACCACTTAGATATATAACACAGAACTATAAATCAGGAAATTACCCAACCTCAAAGTAGACAGGGAAACCATGGAATTATTTACATTAATGTCTGCCTTACTGCAAAATATTTATGAGTCATTCCACTAGAATACATAATGGGTTCCAAATCTTAAAATGAGGAACACATTTATGGCTGAGGTCTCCTCTCTGATAAAACACACCCACCTGATCGGGTGTTCCATGTAGTCTACATGGCTGTTTCAACAGCTGTTTACAGCCAGGGATTCCGTCTTAAGGTTGGGACTATCCAACCATGAAATCTAACATCTATAAAATCTGAGATGTATGTATAACACCCATGATTCATGACCTTTTAAAAAGACTTATGTCAACAATTAAATGCACACATGTAACAAAAGGTATAAAATTCTCTTGAAGGAAAAACTGCAATTGTTTCTTGTGATCAAATGCTTAGTTTAATTTTATTGGAAAGAAAGAGGGGATAAAGAAAGAATGGAAGGGAGGGAAAGAGAGAGGGAGGGAAGGAGGTTAGGGAGGTTAGGGAGGGAAGGACGGAGGAAGAAAGGAAGGAAGGAAGGAAGGGAGGAAGACAGGAAGGAAGGAAGGAAGGAAGGAAGGAAGGAAGGAAGGAAGGAAGGAAGGAAGGAAGGAAGGAAGGAAAGAAGGAAGGAAGGAAGGAAGGGTGGGTGGGTCATCCTCCCAGTAGGTCACTCCCCAAATGGCTACAATTAAGTGCAGGATCAAACCAAAACCTGGAGCCAGAGCTCCAAATCCAGGTCTTTCACATGGGAAGCTTGGGCCCATGTACTTTAGCCACCACATACTGCTTTCCAAGGTACACATGGATCAAAGGTAGAAGAACCAGAACTTGAGCCAGACACTCCAATATTGAATGAAGGCACTCCAAACAGCATCTTTTATGCCATTTTATTAAAAGTTTGTTTCGGAAAACTCTCTTAGGGGACATGGAAACACAGGCATTTTGATACAATCAGTTAAGCTACCACTAGAGACACCCTCATCCCATACTCCCACGTGCCAGCTACCCCACTTCATTCCACCTGCTATCCATATGGGAGAACAAGATTTTGGCTCCTGACTTCATCCTGGCCCAGACCTGGCTTACTTATGGGCATTTGAAAAGCAAATCAATGGATGAGAGGCCAGTCTGTCTCTTTCTCTCTCTCTCTCTTCTCTCTCTCAGTCATTCTTTCAAGTAAATGAAGACAAAGTAAATAAAAAAATGTTAAAGCTCTCTTAATGAGCATATTTTTAACATTAGAAAAGGAAACAAATTGGGGAAATGACCAGGACAATACAAGAATCATAAAAGACAAGCTCAGGCATTCTAAGGACCTCCTCCACCAAGCCATTCTCTTCATTGCCAAAGAGGAAAGTTCAGCATCAAAACACATATTTTGTCACAATGTTTACTGATGTACCTAAACTTCCTTTCAAAATTCTACAGATGCCTAGTCAAAATAAACGATCACACTCAACAAAACAGGAAGAACAGATGTTGGAAAGGAAAGGAGAAGAGGGACAAGGGAGGAACAGAAGGGGAAAGACAGGCAAGGGACAGCAGACAGATGACCCTTGTCTGATGGCAATCCTTTGTGACAAAGGATCCATGAATAACAGGCTCACAAAGCAGCACAAAACCCTGCAGGAAACACACACTGTTCTCATGACTTGATCCAGAAATGAGTATATTTTAATCTTAGTGTCAAGCATCAGTAATTACCAATGTAGAGTGAAAAACGAGCAAAACTGATAATTCAGTTGATTGGTACTTCAGGGGACCTCATACCAATATCCAGCTTTCTTTTTTCACTCTGAAAGCCAAAGCAATGGCTTTGGCTGTCCCTACAAATAACCTGAGCATCTTCAGAACTTAGAAGACATTTAGGAGCCATTACAACAAACCCTGTTATCTACAGGTAAAGAAACTAAAGCTAAGAGACTTAAAGTGGTTTGTCCGTCATCACAGAGCCTCATCAGAATGAAAAGCTCATAACTTTCTGATTCTTAGACACTCTGCCTTATACTGGACCATGTGGATCATAGGCTAAGATTTAAAAAAAAAAAAAAAAAAAAGCAATGGCCAAAACTTCCCTGCAACTACATCAGGACAGCAAAGCTTTGGCCCATGCTCTGCCTTATCTGCCACTCCTTCCAGCCTGCACCCACAGTAGCCGATAGCCTCCCAACACCACTGTGCTTCCTGCCCCTGGCTTTCAGGATGACTTGGCACAGTGTCAGGTCTAACAGCCAAAGGCTCTGCCCACCAAAGTCATCAGAACAGGCCTTTGAAAGGTCAGGAAGCAGGATTTTTTAGCTTCAGAAAAGCACCAGCCCTCCCCAAAGATGAGAAGAAATGATAGCTCGTTCTCTTTCAATCAGCGTATTCCCACCTAGATGGTACATGCATCCTAGGAAAACCATTACAGGCTGCAGGTCCCTGTTAGCCCTGACAGGCTCTGTCTTCCAAGTTTTTGCCCAGCCCCAGCACACAGAAAATTTCCAGAAAATTTCACTCCATGTATAATTCACACTGGAATTTTAGTGTTCACAGGGAACAAAATTTAATTAAAATTATTTCTGTAAGTCTTTTTTAGTAATTAGGGAAACTATAATATATGCAGAGTTTAACTGCATATACATGAATGAATGGATTATTCATCATCATCACCATCATCCCTCCCTGTGCAATATAGGATTTCCTCTTCTCCCCAAAAAAGGAACACCTCGCCTGCATTTAAAAACCTTCCATAATATTTATTTCATGCACACACACACACACACACACACACACACACACACACAGAGTTTTTCTTTGCAGTGTCCTGGCAAGGAGTTCTTCTTATTAAGCCTATACAAATGCAGAATCCAAGCTCACGGCCACATTTCCAAGATTCTTTCACTCACTACCAAAAAGTAAAATTTATAGACTATACACCCCACTGATGCTGATCTGGTCATTCCAGATCAACTCCCAAGGGCTGTGGCGCTCCATCATCTCTTAGTCCTACTGGGAAAGTGGCTTGGATTTTATCTGCCATTGTTAGCATTACAGAAAATAATTTGATAATAGAAAATAGCTTACCGCATAATAGTACTTACCGCATAAGCACCTATCAAAAATGCTGCATTTGCTCTTTTCCGTTGATCAAAACAGGTGTAATGCACTATTTTCTTTCTTGATAAACTGTATGACTAAACAGAAGGGATAAAAAAGTTAGTATAACCCTAAAGACAGTGCTGAAATAAACCTACGGAAGACAGCTGTCACCTCAACTTTCAAGATACGTCACAATCTAGAAAATTGAACAGCTTTGCACTTTAATACTATGGCATTTGGACAAGAACCTTTGTGGCAGAAATGATAGCCCATCATGATATCAGAACTAAAAATATAGCAGATATAGCAGATTTTTCACCAAGAAACAATATTGATACATTAGTATATAATTAAATTAATAGGAACTATTTTTGATGTTTTATTCTTGATTTCACCTTTAATGCATTCATTCCTTTGCACTCCCCACATGTCACTCCCACTCAAAAAGTTAGCTATACATCTCATATTACATAGTACCTTTTTAAATGTCTCTCTTTGTTACCCTCTCTAAACATTTTCAATCTTATTATCCAAAATTAATATTTTCTTTCTAGGTGATCTCTACTAATCCCCTTTTAATGATCTAAAAATAAATGGCTAATGGGAAAAGATGAACTATCAAAAAGATCATATCCATAAACATCTTAATAATCATTCATTAGATCCTTGGATTGAAACAGTAATTAAGTATATGCTACATGCCAGGCAACACGTTGCATGCTCAAGTATTTAAATAGTATATGCGCTAAACACGAAAAGAGAGGACAGCATATCCAAATGCACATGGAGAATATGGCAGTACATTGGAGCCTCCAGAGGACACCTGGAAACATGGCAGAGGACAGAGAAAAGAACAAATTCACCAACTACTCCAACCAAGTGTTGGTATGAATATCTGGGCAGATGGAGACTCTAAGGTAGACAGTAGCAGTCAGTGGATTTTCGAGAGATTTCATAGAGATTGGAGTGGTGGGTTCTACAGCAGTTCAGAACTGTTGAACTATCAAAACCTCTTGAGAACTTGTTGGCACTGTAAATTTCTATTTTTCTTCCTGTTATTTTGTATCGTGGTTTTTCATTTAAGGGGATGTACAGTAGCTGTAAAATGGACACTAACATATCCAGATGTGAGGATACAATGTAGTATGCATCTCTACTTCCAGATCAAAGATGGATTACTAATGAAACTGCTTACTATATCTTGACAGTAGAATGCTGGACTCTCTGCCATTGTCCATGGCCATAATGATAGACATATGACTGTGTATGAAGAACTATACTATAGTAATAATACAGGGGAACTCAGTGGCAGGGAGGAGACTGGGTTGGGGGCATGAAGGAAATCCTAAGGTCTATTGAACTGTACCATAAAATAATAATCATCATAAATTTGTAAACAAAATCTATCAAAATGCAATCAAATTATTAATAAAAACCAAATAAACATGAAGCAGTAGGAGCACTAATGCAGCTCAAGACATTCAGCTCAACTTCCTCCTTATTCAAAACAGTTATAGTATTTTGACAAGTGATTTCCAAAATATAGGCACACAAGAACAATTTCATATCTGCCTGTAAATACACATTAACTAAACAACAACATTTTGTATCTTATGTATTGACCAGCTTAGAATCCCTTTAAAAATGTAAAAATAGCTCAACTACCTTTCTTTAGCACGCTGTTGTGTTCAAGGCAAAGAAACTCCCACTCTGAAGTTCATTCTACAAGGACACTACAACAAACTGGCTGGAGCACATAACCACAGAACCATAGTCGCACATGTCCCAGCACAGCACCAGCACAAGGCAGGCATTTCTTTCCTAAATAAAATTCGAATGTTCTGAGCATTGTATTGCCTTTTCAACCAAACTTTAGAAGTTAGTGTTTGACTCAAAGATCATGTCTTATTACCAATGTCCTTGTATCCCAACAGGCTCGTGAAAAACTAAAAAGTACAATGTTTTATTTAGGTCAGTCAAGTTAATAAACTCAAGCTATAGCTACAGACTTCAAGGTCACTACAGGCTGCTGACACCATCTTCTTGTTTTTGAAATGTGGAACACTTGGCTGTCAAGGCAGGTCTCTTTTTCTGCTTTATTTTATTTTGCCACTAGTTGGTTGCTTGGTTTTTGCCACCTAGTATTCTTCATCAATAAATTATGATGCATTTGACAAAAAGATTGGAGGCTCCTCTTAGCCAAGAGTTTTTTGTCATCTCTGCATCTCAGATACCTGAGGACTTTCTGACATGGGCGAGGCCTGTGTAAACACAAGTCAGACCAGGTATACTGGCTCCCAGCCTCTCGCTGTTTACACTCCTTGGTTTCTTAAAACACTGGTATGGAAGACAACATCAAGTGATCCAACCTGAAGTTTAGATTGGCTGTTCTGATGCCCACTGTCCTAAGAAGGTATTTTATAATAAGCTGTGGTTATCACTTAATAACGTAGAATCATATTTACTTTAAAACTCTACTCGCCAAAAGGCACAACTCATATTGTTGTTCTTTCATCACCAACTTCATTTCTTGTTTTCTTTCTGGAATTTTTATTGAGCTTATGCTTTCTGTTTTCTCTCCTTGTTCTGTCACACATGGAATTCAGAGGCCATCTGGAACAGGAAGCATCTGGGGGAGGGCAAAGTTCTCAAGCAGACTTCTTTCTCAAGACTCACAAAAGTGTTTAAGTAAATATAATGCAAATTAAAATTGTAAGGACTTTGGAGGGCTATTTTAAGCTCTATAACTTTTCAGAAATCACAATTGCTAAGAAATGGTCTTCATAAAATCTGCCTAGAAATTTAAACTACTATGACATATTTTCTACAGGAAGCTGTCCGAGAAAAGCAAGTTAAACTTTTTTTTTTAAAAGAGAAAGGCTTCTTCCTGAATTTAAGGAAAACAGTTAAAGTTCCTAGCATTTGCCTCATTTAAGTGTTTCTGGAATTCTGTTTTCTTGGTTACATTGCAACTGTACCAGACAAATCATCTGCCTGGTGGTATCACCAGATCAGATCACCAAGAGATGGACTATTGCTCAAGGAATCAAAACTAACTCCAAGTGAATGACAACAAAGCAAAAACCTTACATGCCACCGGTGATGTCCTAACTTCTCCCCACCACAGCCAGCCTCCTTGTTAGAGAGTCACTTGCTCCAACATTTTACAAGAACACTGCTTGAAAGAGGAGTTTTTAGTGCCAAAAGAAAAATTTCACAGAAAACCAGGGGAAATGGTTTTAATCAATCATTTGATGATGTTCTATATGGTTGGACTAATTAACAAAAATGTACTTAATTTTTTTTATTTAAAAAAAAATTTATTGGGGCTGGCATGATGGCTCAATTGGCCAATTCTCCACCTCCAAGCACCAGCATTCCATATGGGTGCTGGTTCACTTCCCAGGTGCTTTACTTCTCATCCAGCACCCTGCTTGTGGCCTGGGACAGCAGCAGAAGATGGCCCAAAGCCTTGGGACCCTGCACCTGCATGGGAGAACTGGAGAAGGCTCCTGGCTCCTGCTTCAGATCAGCTCTGCTCCAGCCATTGTGGCCATTTGAGGGGCGAACCAGCAAATGAAAGATCTCTCTTTCTCTCTGTAAATCTGTCTTTACAATAAAAATTTTAAAAATCTTTAAGAAATGATTTTTTATCTGATAGACAAACAAAAAAAACAGAGGTAGAGTGCTTCCTTCCACTGATTCACTTGAAAAATGCCTGCAATGCCAGAGCAAGGCCAATGTGAAACCAGTAGCTGGGGACTCAATCCAAGTCTCCCACATGGGTCATGTTGACGCAACCGTGAGAGCCATCACCTGCTGTTCCCCAGGATCTGCAGCGGCAGCAATCTGGATTCGGGAAGCAGAGCCTGGAGTGAGCTGAAGACAGCCACTGTGATATGGGATACAGACGTTTAAATCACTAGGCCAAATGCCCATATCTGTTTCTTCTTTTTAAATACTAATTTCCCCTACCAACATTGAACTAAAAGCACCCTAAAACAAATAATACTATCCAGCAGAGGCACTAATGACATGAGTATCTGTAGAGGAACATTAATTCATCCTTCAAGATGTTTGATGGGGAGCCTATGTCAGCATCCCACAGGGGCACTAATTCGAGTATGAGCTGTTCCACTCCAGTCCAGCTCCCTGCTAATGACCTGAGAAAAGGTGGCAGAGCATGGCCCAAATATTTGAGTCCCTGCACCAACCTTGAGGTACCTGTACACACATGGGAGACCCAGCAGGAGCTTTTGGCTCCTAGCTTCAGCTTGGCATAGACCTAGCTGTTGCAGCCATTGAGGAGTGAGCCAGCAGTGGGAGATTTTTCTCTCTCTCTTTTACTTATATATTTTTATATAATATATATTTTATTTTATATATAAAGATATAGTATGTACATATAAATGTTATTTTATATATAAAATATATTATTTTATATATTCTATTAGATATAAATATATTATATATGATATATGTTATAATATATCATATATAGTATATATTATTGACATATATTAAATATTATATTTAATATTATACATTTGTATATTATATTTATATATTATGCTATATATAGCTAGCTAGCTATCTATATATATATATAGAGAGAGAGAGAGAGAGAGCGCGCTCTGGTTTTCCAATAAATAAATACATTTTTACAAAGGAAAAGATATTTCATGGAAGAAATGCACCGCCAAGGGAAAGAAAGACATTATTTCAGGGAATGGATTTGTGAGGCTGTGGGCTAAGCTGCCAACTGCAATTCCAGCATTCCACATCAGAGCATCAGTTCAAATGCCTGCTGCTCTGCTTCCAATCCAAGCCCCTACTAGTGTTCCTGGGAAAGCAGCAGCAGATGGTCTGAGTACCTGGGCTCCAGGCACCCTCGTGAGACACCTGGCTGGAGAACATGGCTCCTTGCTCGAGCCTGGACTCGCCTCAGCTATTGAAGCTATTTGGGGAATAAGCCAGTAAATGGAAGACTCTCTCTTTCTTTTCCTCTTTCCCTCTCCTCTCTCTGTCACTCTGGCTTTGAAATAAATTAAAAATAAGTCTTTTTAAAAATGCTGAAGAGGGCCCAGCGCAATAG